AAGGATGTAGACAAATGCAATGGTAGCAAGAAAGACAAAAACAGGACTGACCACTGGGTTTGGTCAGATGATTGTTTAATAAGCAAAAAGTCTACCACCAGTGGAGAGTGGGGCCAGAAGTCAGATCATAGTGAAATATAAGTGGTCGTGTTGCATAAAGCATCAGTATTTTCTTTCCTCCTTTCCTTCCTTCTTTCTTTCTTTCCTTTCTTTTTTTGAGACAGAGTTTCACTCTTGTTGCCCAGGCTGGAGTGCAATGGCCCGATCTTGGCTCACTGCAACCTCCGCCTCCCGGATTCAAGCAATTCTCCTGCCTCAGCCTCCCGAGTAGCTGGGATTACAGGCACCCACCACCACACCCGGCTAATTTTTGTATTTTTAGTAGAGATACGGTTTTACCAAGTGGACCAGGCTGGTCTCGAACTGATGTCAGGTGATCCACCTGCTTTGGCCTCCCAAAGTGCTGGGATTACAGATGTTAGCCTCCAAGCCTGGCCACATCAGTGTTTTGTTTTGTTTTGTTTTGTTTTGAGACGAAGTCTCGTTCTGTCGCCCAGGTTGGAGTGCAATGGCACAATCTTGGCTCACTGTAACCTCCGCCTCCCGGGTTCAAATGATTCTCATGCCTCAGCCCAACGCTAGATTGGTTTTTCCGAGCCTGTGAACTCCATGGAGTTGCCAGATAAGCGCAGTCCCGGTGGACCAACGCCCAGGACGGAGGCTGTAGACAAACCCTATGCCAAGCCGCAGGCAGCGGTTCCGGACTCTGGGACTTAACCTAATGTGGCGGGGCGGGACTTCCGGCGGGAGGCTGACGCGGCGGCGGAGGCGCAGGCGCCGGCTGGCAGGTGTCGCTGACCGGACGGTGGTCGCTGGGGCGAGAAGCTGGAGCCGGAGAGGCGAGGCAGGACCCCGGCTCCACTGCCGCCTCTCCGAGCTCTCGCGACGCGGACCTCAGTGCCAGGATGGCTCGGGGCGAGCGGCGGCGCCGCGCAGTGCCGGCAGAGGGAGTGCGGACCGTCGAGAGGGCGGCTCGGGGAGGCCCCGGGCGACGGGACGGCCGGGGCGGCGGGCCGCGTAGCACGGCTGGAGGAGTGGCTCTGGCCGTCGTGGTCCTGTCTTTGGCCCTGGGCATGTCGGGGCGCTGGGTGCTGGCGTGGCACCGTGCGCGGCGGGCGGTCACGCTGCACTCCGCGCCTCCTGTGTTGCCTGCCGACTCCTCCAGCCCCGCCGTGGCCCCGGACCTCTTCTGGGGAACTTACCGCCCTCACGTCTACTTCGGCATGAAGACCCGCAGCCCGAAGCCACTCCTCACCGGTAACCGGGCCCCAGGGCGGGCAGGCAGGCGGACTCCTAATCTGGGCGCCCCAGCTTGAAGCCAGATCAAGGGTGGGGAGGAATGGATCAGGAGAGTTATGAAGAGGGATGACCCAGAGACCCGGAGGGACAGGTCCCCTGCTCGTTGACTTACGTGGCCATTCTACCCCCAGGACTGATGTGGGCGCAGCAGGGCACCACCCAGGGGACTCCTAAGCTCAGGCACACGTGTGAGCAGGGGGACGGTGTGGGTCCCTATGGCTGGGAGTTCCACGACGGCCTCTCCTTCGGGCGGCAGCACATCCAGGATGGGGCCTTAAAGCTCACCACTGAGTTCGTCAAGAGGCCTGGGGGTCAGCACGGAGGGGACTGGAGCTGGAGAGTGACTGTAGAGCCTCAGGTCAGGGCCTCAGGACACCCTTTTCTCAGCCCAGACCCCCTCTATCCTTCCCTTGCTGCCAGCAAATGCAGCATGAAGTGGGCTCTGGCTGCCTGGCTTAAATCTTGCCTTAAACAGCTGCCTCTATGAGCATCTCTAAGCCTTGATTTCCTTGCTTGTAAAATGTAAAATGTAGATAATAATAGCACCTAACTCACAGGACTGTAAGAATTAAATGAAAAAGAGGCTGGGCGCGGTGGCTCACGCCTGTAATCCCAGTACTCTGGGAGGCTGAGGCTGTCAGATCACCTGAGGTCGGGAGTTCCAGACCAGCCTGGCCAACATGGAGAAACCCCGTCTCTACTAAAAATACAAAATTAGCCGGGCATGGTGGCGCATGCCTGTAATCCAAGCTACTCGGGAGGCTGAGGCAGGAGAATTGCTTGAACCCAGGAGGTGGAGGGTGCACTGAGCCAAGATCGTGCCATTGCACTCCAGCCTGGGCAACAAGAGCGAAACTGTGTCTCAAAAAAAAAAAAGAATTAAATGAAATAAACTGTGTAGATTTCTTAGTGTAGGACATAGTACAAAAGTATACTGTTATCTTCCAGGGCACCCAGTGCAAGGCTCTTTATCTCATCCCACTTTGGTGTACCTGGTTACCCTCAGTGACCCTCAGTACTGCCAGATGTATGTTGTTTACATTACCCCTGCCTGCTGTTCCTTTCCCTCACTAAGGCTGATTCTCAAGAGAGAATGCCAGTCTAACACTGTTCTTTTCTGTCCTCCTTGGTCACTTAGGCCTCAGGTACCTCTGCCATCCCTTTGGTCTCCCTGTTCTTCTATGTGGTGACAGATAGCAATGAAGTCCTAATACCGGAGGTTGGGTCCAAGGGGCAGTTGAAGTTCATCAGTGGGCACACCAGTGAACTTGGTGACTTCCGTTTTACACTTCTGCCACCAACTAGTCCAGGGGATACAGCCCCCAAGTATGGCAGGTAATTGGGGGAAGAGAATGTTCAGGGATGGAAGGGGTGGTTATTCCCATTTTCACCAGTCTTCATGTCCCCTGCCTGAGACCTCCCAACCTGACTCCTGAACATTTCGTATTTCTCTTTATAATGCCCACTGCCTTCTCTTGAATAATATTTCCTATTTATCTTCTCCCCTTCAAGCTACAATGTCTTCTGGACCTCCAACCCAGGACTGCCCCTGCTGACAGAGATGGTAAAGAGTCGCCTAAATAGCTGGTTTCAGCATCGGCCCCCAGGGGCCTCCCCTGAACGCTACCTCGGCTTGCCAGGATCTCTGAAGTGGGAGGACAGAGGCCCAAGTGGGCAAGGGCAGGGGCAGTTCTTGATACAGCAGGTGACCCTGAAAGTTCCCTTTTCCATAGAGTTTGTGTTTGAATCGGGCAGTGCCCAGGCAGGAGGAAATCAAGTCCTACCAAGACTGGCAGGCAGTCTACTGACCCATGCCCTGGAGAGCCATGCTGAGGCCTTTAGAGAGCGCTTTGAGAAGACCTTCCAGCTGAAGGAGAAGGGCCTGAGCCCTGGCGAGCAGGCTTTGGGTCAGGCTGCCCTCAGCAGCCTCCTTGGTGGAATTGGCTACTTCTACGGACAAGGACTGGTATTGCCAGACATGGGGGTGGAAGGGTCTGAGCAGAAGGTGGACCCAGCCCTCTTTCCACCCCTACCTCTTTTTACAGCAGTGCCTTCCCGGTCATTCTTCCCACGAGGCTTCCTTTGGGATGAGGGCTTTCACCAGCTGGTGGTTCAGCGGTGGGATCCCTCCCTCACCCGGGAAGCCCTAGGCCACTGGCTGGGGCTGCTAAATGCTGATGGCTGGATTGGGAGGGAGCAGATACTGGGGGATGAGGCCCGAGCCCGGGTACCTCCAGAATTCCTAGTGCAACGAGCAGTCCATGCCAACCCCCCAACCCTACTTTTGCCTGTAGCCCATATGCTAGAGGTTGGTGACCCTGACGACTTGGCCTTCCTCCGAAAGGCCTTCCCCCGCCTGCATGCCTGGTTCTCCTGGCTCCATCAGAGCCAGGCAGGCCCAGTTCCACTATCTTACCGCTGGCGGGGACGGGACCCTGCCTTACCAACCTTACTGAACCCCAAGACCCTACCCTCTGGGCTGGATGACTACCCCCGGGCTTCACACCCTTCAGTCACCGAACGGCACCTGGACCTGCGATGTTGGGTGGCACTGGGTGCCCGTGTGCTGACGCAGCTGGCAGAGTATCTGGGTGAGGCTGAGGTAGCTGCTGAGCTGGGCTCACTGGCTGCCTCACTGGAGGCAGCAGAGAGCCTGGATGAGCTGCACTGGGCCCCAGAGCTAGGAGTCTTTGCAGACTTTGGGAACCACACAAAAGCAGTACAGCTGAAGCCCAGGCCCCCTCAGGGGCTGGTTCGGGTGGTGGGCCGGCCCCAACCTCGACTGCAGTATGTAGATGCCCTTGGCTATGTCAGTCTTTTTCCCTTGCTGCTGCGACTGCTGGACCCCAACTCATCCCGCCTTGGGCCCCTGCTGGACATTCTAGCTGACAGCCGCCATCTCTGGAGCCCCTTTGGTTTACGCTCCCTTGCAGCCTCCAGCTCCTTTTATGGCCAGCGCAATTCAGAGCATGATCCCCCCTACTGGCGGGGTGCTGTGTGGCTCAATGTCAACTACCTGGCTTTGGGAGCACTCCACCACTATGGGCATCTGGAGGGTCCTCACCAGGCTCGGGCTGCCAAACTCCACAGTGAGCTCCGTGCCAATGTGGTAGGCAATGTATGGCGCCAGTACCAGGCTACAGGCTTTCTCTGGGAGCAGTATAGTGACCGAGATGGGCGAGGCATGGGCTGCCGCCCTTTCCACGGCTGGACCAGCCTTGTCTTACTGGCCATGGCTGAAGACTACTGAAGGGAGGGAGAGGAGGGGAGCCAGGCCACTCATGCCATTCTGGCTCTAGAGGGACAAAGGCTTCTGGCTTCTGCCCCCAGTCCCTTGGATACCAGTAATTCAAACCTTCCTCATTTCATCTCAGGTGTCTCCTTACTGTCATCCCACATAGCCCTGGGGTGAATGTGAATTCAGAGTCTATTTTTCTAAATAAATTGGAAAAAACATTTTGAACTCTATTGCTTTTGCCAGATTTGCCTCACCAAGAGGCCTTAGGTCAGTCTAGGCCTCAGGATTGTCTACTGTCCTCAGGGAAGGTGGGGTCAAGTGGCCATAACCTGTCCCCTTCAAACCCAGTCAGGTCAAGTGCAATGCAGTGAGTTGAGCTTTAGTCCACCCAAATCCACAAGTGGCTGGTTCAAATCTCTTTAATGAGATCAAAGGCTCCTGTGTATATGTCTTGATGCCTTGCGGGGGTAAAGCTAGCACAATCCCCCAAATACTGCCCCTCTCCTCAGGGCTCCAGCCCTTTCGGGCAGATCTAGGTAGGCAGGAAGGGGCCAAAGGAAACGCAAGGAGGTGGGACTAGGGCTGTTTCTGGTGGGCAAGTAACCCACCCACCCTCTCAAAACTAACTTACGGGATGTCCCCTTCACTGGAGGACAGCCCCATGGGAGAGACCTGCGGTACAGAATCTGGGGGCAGTGCACAAGGGGAATAGTCCTCCAGATCTGGCAGGGTGGCACTAGCCCTCACCTCCTTGACTGGCTCACCCTCACCGGAGGCAGGACAAGGGCAGAGCTCAATACCGGAGTCACCAGTTAAACGGCGATAGCGACAGGAGGGGGGTGTGGGGGCAGGGCTCACCCCTGCCGCAGGCTCAACCTCCTGATGAGGGGGGGCACTCTGGTGGGAGGAAACACCTTCCACATTTGTTCCTTCGAAGTGGGCAGGGCAGCTGGATGAGGAGGAACACCAGGTTTGTTCGCTGGAAGCAGTCAAGGGGAGGCCTGGGGCCACAGTATAAGCAGGGGGTGGTGTGCCTGGGCGGTGAACCACATCCTCATAGGCTGGGGGCTTGAAGGTGCTGAGGAGGCCTGCAGGGGAGAAAATTGGCATAATTCGTTGAAGGCAACCAGGTATAGGGTGCTAGCTTTTATATTAGGGAAAAATACTTTGAAATGTGTAGAAAAAAGAATGTCAGATGATTTGGGGTCCTGGTTCGGGGAGGGCCACTGGTAGTTGACCCAGAGCATCAAGTCACTCACGAAGGTCAAGCAGTGAACCGGTAGGGAAAGGACCAGCCCCATGGCATGCCCCATGGTAGGCCAACAAGTTGATTTCACGCTGCCGCTGCTGTTGTTGCAGCCGGAGTTTAGCTCGTCGGTGGCGGAAGGCGCAACAGCAGCTAAAGAGGATGAGGACAGTCCAGAGCAGCCAGAACCCTGCAAGAGGCAAGGAGGGAGCGACTCAGGCATCTTTCATGCAGAGAAGGGGCCCTGAAGGCCGAAATTCTGAGGTCCAAGGGAGGGTGGGCACAGGGACCTGGAAACAGCCCTCTTGGAGACTTACACCAGAGCTCATAGTAGTAGGTGCAGCAGCCAGTCTCCCCACAGCAGTGACCACTCTCACAGAGGTAGGGCTGGTTGTTCACTCCTGGGCACAGCTCTCGAAGCTGGGGGCAAGGAGGCACTTAGAACTAAGGGGGATTCCAGCGCAGGGCACTGTCCACCCCCACCTCCTGCATGCACATACACAATCCCACCCTGTGAACCAAGTTCAGCTTGGAGAGATGGGGGAAGTGGAGGATGCTGAGAGGAGTGTTGAAATATCTGAAGGGCTGTCAACGTGGAAGAGGATTTGGAATAGCAAGAATCAGTCTAGAGAACAAGACAAAAGTGTGGACATACAAAGAGGGAGATTTCAGGTCTGCATATATAAGACTTCCTTCACACTCAAGCCTCACCCTCCCCAACCCCCCTACCCCCATCCCCCCGGTGCTTTCTGTTATGGGAGTGTTTTGGCAGAAGCCAGAAGACAGTCTGAGATAATCTCAGTCTCAGACAACGGGTAGGGGAAGGTCATTTCCAAAGCAAGTTGCTTTCATTATCCTGCGCGGTTCACTACCCCCACCCCCAACTGGATCTTTCCACCCCTGGGCCTCAGGCTCCCTAGGACAGAGGAGGGGCAGTGTGAGACCCAGAGCAGTGCTCCCAACCAGATGGGAAGCTGTGGATGATAAAGGATGGCATCCAGGGCGCGAGTCTGGGTTCCAGCTCTTCTCCAAATTGCTCCCTCAAGAGAAGACGCTGCCGGACTCTGTTGTGACAACAGGCACATAGAAAAAGATCACAAATAACTGTTGCAAGACAGAGGGAGCCTCCCTGGGGCCTGCCTCACTATGCCTCTGGTCACTGGCGAGCCACCGCAAGCTTCCACTGCAGCCATGGGATGGGGTCTATGAGGCTACAGGAAAAGTCAGCTGCATCTACGTTACAAAGTTTAGACAAAGAGTGGGACATGTTTAGGAACTTCACAGTACCTTTGGCTCCGTGAGTTCCTCCCCCACCCCCAAAAAGGAAGGGATAAGGAAAGGGGAAAGAGACAAACGGCTGTCGTGATAGGCTTTGGAGCTGTTGGGATACCTGCTGTTGCGATGCCCGAAGTGCCCCCCAGGCCTCCTCGCTGCCGTTCCCGCTGCTGGCCCGAGCCATGCCTCCACCTACAGCCCCCTGAGGACCACAGCCTCCTCTACCGCCAGCCGCCCCGCCCCTGCCACCTCTGCTGCCACCGCCATGGTCCCTGCCCGGCCCATCTTCGCTGCCGCCACCATCACTACGCGGCCTGAGCTTCCATCCGGGGAGAACTCCACCAACTAGGACTCAGATTGCTCTGCCCTACCAATCAGCATCGTCCCTTGACGGACAGGCCAATAGGAACAGATAAGAGGTTTCTCCCTGTGACCAATCCACAGCAGCGCCTTCGCCGCTCTCCCAGACAACATGAGCTCGTACAGACAAAGAGTAGGGGAAGGTTCGACCCACGGCCCTGACTGACAGCGGCAATAGCCAATACAGACAGCAGAACAGGCTCTGGCATATCAACCAACGAACAGCCGCCCCGAAGACCAAGGTTACCGCTGATTGGCTTGCGCCATGTTTTCGGAATGACGCCAAATGCCGGCGACCGCCAGGTAATCCCGCCTGTAAGAGGCGGCGTCCCAAAAGTCGGTCCGACTCTGACCGCAAACCAGCCCAGTTTCTTGCGGTGCTTTCCAAGCCCCAGGCATCGACGCAAGCTCCGACAGGGGCAAAATATGTGTATACCGGAGACTGGTCTGCCCACAACATCCCACTCCCCCAGTTCTGTACAAGCCAAAGCACCGGATGAAATTTAATAGGGTGGGGAAGACACTCAAGAGCGGGCATGGGACAGGGCGCAGAGTCCAGGTTAGGTAAGGGCCTTACGTAGCCAAAAGGGGGGATCCAGGGCCCTCGGGTCCCCCCAGCCGCATCTGCAGGTTGATGCGGTAGCACTGAAGACTGCAGAGTGCCTGGCCGGTGCGAGAGCAAGCGTAGCGGCGCGGATGGGGACAGCCGGGGACAGAGCAGCGCGGAGGCGGGCCTAAGGGGGATGGCCGCTGAGACACCGCCGTGGGGGTGGGAACGCCAGGTGGGAAGGAAAGGGTGGAACCCTGTGCTCCGCTGCAGTAGCGCACCATGGGGGCCGGAGCCGCAGCCCGCCCTCCCCGCCGCTCGCCCCGTGCGGCTCCCCGGCCTCCCCGCCCACTGGTCGCCGCAGTCTTGGTGAGGCGCTCGATAGTCTGGTTCTTGTGCTCTTCTGCCCGCCGCGCCGCCTGGAGCCGCCGCTTACGCGCCCGCTCCTCGCGCTTCAGCAGCATCTCCTCTGTGAGAGCAGGAGCTGGACAGCCCTCAGCCACAGGCAGCGGCAGCATCGGGGAAGGCTGACTCCGCGCCTTCTGGAGCAGAGCTCGCTAGGGAGAGACAGAGACGGGGTGCTGTCTGAAAACGGAGGAGGATGGAGAGGCGAGGTCGGTCAGATCGGGGAAGGGGAAAGCAGGGACATGGAAGGCAGGGTCTTGAGCAGCGCAGGCCTTGGGAGACGGGATATTAATAAATAAGCACCCTCTCCAGGACACCTTCCATAGGTTCCTCTTCATAAATACTGCCTCATCCCAGATCTCCTGACATTCAGCTTTAGGTCCTTAACTCTCAAGGGGAGAAGCATCAATAATGTTGCCTGCCTGACCTGTGCACCAAAACTGTACCAGCTTTCCCAGAGGTCTGTTGTTTTTAATCTTATCTCAGTAGAGAGTATCAGTTGGATAACTGCTGAAGCCAAAATCCTAGGCTTAGCCTTGATATAGTTTCTCTCCATTCCCCTCCCCACAAGTATCTACTTCCAAAATATAGCCATATTTCATATGATTTTCTCCATCTCCACCACTTTGGTCTTGGTTAAAGCAACCACTGCCTCTCGGCTGATTACTTCAACAGCTTCCTAGTTGGTCTCCATACTTCTATCTCTTGTCTCCACGGAGATTCATTCTCTACAAGGAAGCCAGAGTAATCTATTGAAATGTAAACCAAGTTTGTCACTTCTCTGCGTACAGCCCTTCAGTGGCTTGTGCAGTTTTTCTTCTCCTTTACTCTGCTAGACATGTTCCAGTCTCAAGGTCTGTGCGCCTGTTGGTCTCTGCTGGAAAAGCTCCTCTGGTATTGCAAATGTTATCTCTTCAGAGAAGCCTTCTCTAACTACCCTAAGTCTCTCTTCTGTCATTTTCTATTTGTTTGTTTATGCCATTTCTATTTCATCACCCTATTCTTTTTGTCATAAACCATATAGCTTTTTGAAATTATTTATTTACTTATTTACTTCCCAGCCCCCCAACACACACACTAGAATACTAGCTCCAGGAGAACAGAAACTTTGTCTGTCTTTTCTCCACTATCGATATCCCCACTACCACGCAAAGTGCTTGGGTCGTGGAGAGTTCTCAATACTGTATACTTTGGTGAGTGAATAAACAATGACCAACATACCTGTCGAGCAGTAAGCAGCCGCTCATTGATCTCCTTCTTGAGGTCTCCATTATCATCCAGCTCCCCCTTCTCCAGGGCATCCAGCCACCTCTGTTCCTCCTCTTCCTCTTGACCCCCTAACCCTCCTGATAGGTCCCGCAGTGGAGAGGGAGAGAGATTACTGTCTTCATCTGGGAAGGAAGTTGGAGAAAGAAAAATAGAATTGTTCAGATGGTGCACCCTAATTTGGCTGAGTTAATACTGGGATATGGAAAATCCTAACCCATTTCAGAACCAACCTTCTTTCCTTAGGCGGGTATAATAAGAAACCCAGTTTCCCCACCTCCAGATCCTTCTCACCCAGCCAGGCACGGTACTGCTCAAGGGGGACTCCTTCCATAGGTTCCTCTTCATTATCCACAACCATAAGGGGAGAGGGTGAGCGAGGCCCCTCTGGGATTACAGTGAAGGTAGGAACACTGCAGAGAAGCAACACTACTCTTTAAAATGAGCAAGCGTCTCCTCCTCCTACGCAGTAGCTCCACCCAACTTTCCCCACCCTCTTAAGACTCTTGCTGCCTAAACCTGGACCATGAAGTCACAGTGTCCATTCGGTCTTCTAGAAAGCCCAGTCGGCTTCTAACTACTTTCTCTGCTCCTAAAGTTCCCCTTATAAAACTTTGACCCTCTTGGCCTCACCTCTTGGTCCCCAGGACTTGTCCCCCAAGCTTGATTTTGAGTTTGAGCTGGGGCTTGGCAGGGGACGGCTGCGTGGGCCCGGCATCTTCTTCCTGATGGTGTTTCTTCTTGTGTTTCTTCTTGTGCTTCTTGTGTTTTTTCTTGTGCACTCCATGGCCATGGGCACCCGCCAGGCTCAACTCCAGGGCTTCTCCTGCGGAAGGAACGCCTGTCGACAGTGTTCGGCCGGAGGGTGGCAAGGGAAGCCCTGAATAACCTAAGCCCCTACCGATCCCACCCTTTCCGCAGTACTCTCTGTTACCATAACAACAGCACCGCCTTTCTCCTTCCCACCTGTGGCTGAAGTACCCTGAACTCTCCGAGGAGAAAGAACGGGACTTCTTTTCTAACACGGCCTAAATTGCTTGATCTATCCGCGCTTACCCGGCTCAGGGGCCTCCATAGTCCCAGAGGTGCTTCCACGCCGCCACAGCTTACTCATGAGGTCCTGCAAGGAAAGGGGACTAGAAATGGTTGGGACACACGCAGACATGCCTTTTCCGCCCCGCGGAAAAACTGGAGCCAGCAAGATAACCAGTTACTTCCCGTTCGTAGCAACCATCCTTGTGCGGGGCACGCTTCGCGTCCAAAATCGTCCCTGAGAAACAAGAATCCTTCCAACTAACGTTCCGGTCCCTCTGCGGTCGGGACCGCCCAGATGGGCAGGGCTTTCCCCTGGCTCCGCCTCCCCACACTAGATTTCAGAACTCAACGCGGGTGAATCAATTATTGAACTCGAGTTTGGTGAATGTATACGCCAGACCAAGTGCGGTGAAGCTAGTCTAAGAGGATGCAAAGATGAATATGAACACCGCCCCTGTCCTTGAGGAACTCACAGTTGGGTGGAGGAATACATAAACTATACTGATGACAAAATGGCCGAAATGCTTAAACAGCACGAGTGCCCTAAGAGCAGAGCAAAGCACATGCTCTTAGGTATTTAGACTTCAATTTTCATAAGTAGGGGAATAAATAAATGAATTACGGTGCAGCTGTACAATGTGGAACACCATATTGCTAAGAAAAGTTGAGTGATAAGTAATTAATGAGATTGACACAGAATTTTAACAGTCTAAGTGTCCTAATGAACTTGGTATATCCATACAGTGGGATGTCAAGTAGCTTGGAAAAGAAATGAGGCGCGCCAGAAGGCTACCTAGGAAATTGGTAAGAGTCATTTGCTGATGAGCAGATGGAGAACAAGGGTGGATGGCCACCTATTTTTTATTATTATACCCTTTTGCGTCTTTTGAATTTTGTATAAAACGTGTATATTTTACCTCATTTTTAAAAAGATATAAAAACAGGTAGGTTTGTATGTGTTGATACATGAAATAAGAAAAGTGAATTCCCCATTCTGGCTAATATGGTGAAACCACGTCTCTACTAAAAATACAAAAAAAAAAAAATTAGCTGGCGTGGTGGCACGCGCCTGTAGACCCAGCTACTCTGGAGGCTGAGGCAGGAGAATCGCTTGAACCCGGGAGGTGGAGGTTGCAGTGAGCCGAGATCGCGCCACTGCACTCCAGCCTGGTGGACAGAGCGAGACTCCGTCTCAAAAAAAGAAAAAAAAAAAAAAAGAGAAAAGAAAAGTAAATTTCAGGATTATGTGATCTGATTTTTAAAAGCATAATATACTAGCAAATACATAGAAAAAAATGAGGAATGTATACCTGTTAATATTGGTTAACTGTAGAAGTTGGGGTTTAGGAACTTTCACTATCTAGATCTGTAATGTATTTTCTTACAGCCAATATATATCACGTTTATAATTGGAAAAAAACACCTATATACATATATCTAAATATATATGAGTGTCTGAGCAAGGTAACAGCAGTGAAAAAAGAAAGAACTCATTCCTCTTGTCTCTTACATTTCAGTGATAAAATTACCAAGAATCAATGAGCAATTATATTGGGGGAATCCAGGATGAAGTCATGTAGTATGTGATTGTGAAAAGGGATTTTGGAGTCAGACAAGCCTATTATCAAATCCCAGTTTCACCATTTATTAGCTATGCAACCTTGGGCTTAAAATTATTTAAGCTCTCTGAACCTCAGAATCCAACTCTGTAAGATGGAATACAGTAGGATCCACCCCATGAGGGCTCTTTCAAGGAATAGAGGAAATCAAGAACGCACGGTACCTAGGGTATCAGCAGGCACAAGCACATAGTAGATGCTTCAGTAAGCAAATAATAATAAGTGATTTATAGGTTTCTAGCCCAAGTATTTAGTGGGAAGATGGTATTTTCAGTAAGGAAGAGAACATAGGAAGAGAAGCAAGTTAAGAAGGGAATTATTTAGTTTTGCCCAAGGTGAATTTGAAGTGCCTGTGGGAATGCCTGGGTGGAGGTGGAATAGCTGAGAGAAGCCAAGGATGAAAGTATGAGTGGGGATGTCATCAGCGTAATACTGGAGGTCCCCAAGTGATGGAAGCAGATGAGACACCCAGAAAGAGTAAGTAGATAATAGGAAAAGAACCAGGAACAGAAA